GAGAGAGAGAGAGAGAGAGAGAGAGAGAGAGAGAGAGAGAGAGAGAGAGAGAGAGAGAGAGAGAGTCCAACTTTGTGGGACAATAGATGGATTGTGACAAAGCATGCGTAGAACTTGGTGAAAATGCCATTGCAGACTGTTTCATGGATGAACTTCGACTGACTCATCACCAGTAGGATGCACTGTACATAGGCAAAGAAAAAGGGGAGTGATGGTTCTTTGAAAGACTATCTTCTCGGTACTTCGACTAATGCATCACAGGAAAAGAGGAGACACCACGAACTACCTTACCCTCACACAACCCCCAACCTACCAACCCCCCTCTACCCCTTCCCCCTTCCTCCCTCTCTCTTTGTCTCCTCCATTTCACTTTTCCTTCACAGAAAAAAGCCTTGAAGCTTTCTTCACCCTTTGAACAGGAGGCGCTGATGGCCCCCTGTCAGCAGCAAGCCAATAGGCTGTTGAGTATCGAATCTATCGATCGATAAAGATCGGAAGGATTCCAGTATCAAAGAGGAGATGGCTAAGGATGACCACTATTGTTACACACAATTAAACAAACAAACCTTCAAGTTGTATCTGCCTTGTCGCTCCCCATAATTAGATCGGAGCCAGGTGTTTTGTTATAAAAAAAAAAAGTTGTATCTGCCTTGTGACTGAATGGTCCCCACATGTAACAATTAATAAACAGAGCATGGGATAGGGATAGAACAATAGTATTAGGACTCAGGAGCTGCCTCTTTTTTTTGAAAGTGGTAAGCAGGCATGCCTTAGCTCCTGCAGATTCTGTTCTTGTGGAAGTGAGCCGGATCGTGTCCTTGGCGATTCTGTTCTTCTTGTGGAATGACCCGGATCGTGTCCTTGGCGAAGGCAAAATCATTTTTGGTTCACCAAGGGATGCAATAATCAAATAGTGCTGATGACTGGTGTTTTAGAAGGAACCCCTCCCCTTCTGTGTACCTGTTAGTGAATGACTATGGAGCCCTCTCTTGTGGGTTGCAGGACCTTTCTCTACATCAAATGCATGGATAAGAGGATGCGTTAAATGCCTCCCAAACAACTTCTGATATAATGCGCTTTTCGTTTCCTGCTTATCACTGTGTCTGATGTGCTGTACCTTGGTGAGGGTCTTCTTAAAATTTGGAGATAGGATGATGAAACAGAAAGCCAGAGTTAAGTTGTATATCTCCAACTTCCCCTGGGTGATCCTTCAGCAGTCTTGGAAGGCCAGGGTGAAATCTGACTGCTCGGCCGCATGCAATCCTGGCGAGGTAACTTTTTTTTTTTTTCAATGTTGAACTCTTGCACCGGTTTCCCCGTGCGGTTGTCCCCTGCCCTGCATGCCAGCCTGCCCGGACGGGCAGGTAGCCTACAAAATTGGATGGAATTTGGACCTTGTCTGTAGCTCCTCTTGACGGCAGGCCGCCTGACTCTTGTGTGAATCTGTGATGGTGCTTTTCCAGAATCTTAGCAAAGTTCTGTGCCTTCCGGAGACGAAAGTGAGACAACTTTTGAAGGTTCGTAAACATCAATGATTTGGCTCTTGGCTATCCCTCTGTTATTCAGAATTCCGAGCATACTCTCACTAGGACTTCTCTTCTTTTATATATATAAGATAAGAAAAAACATAGCTCCAATCTATTCGTGGGGACTTCTCAGGATATAAGGAACTGCAATTATGGACAGCTCTGGGTCCATCTGACTGCAATTACGCCGAGAGCTGATTCCAAAAGGAGTATGCCCTCAGAGTCTTTGTCGGAAGGACATTTCTTTGTTTCTTTGTCCATCTTTTGTGAGGCTTATTCTATGCTGTATGCCATTGAAGGGCTCCAGCATTTTGCCAAGAATAATTGGATAGCTGCTAGGTAAGGAACACGTGCAATTTTTTTTTGTGTAGTTTACTAGTTTTCTTTTTCGTTTGTGGGTTTTGAAACATTTGACAAGTGATACATGTGATCCAAATAGTCCAATGTGTTTCGCATCTTACTCTTTGGATTACTCTATTGAAAATTGTGAAATTAATTATACAAAGGCTAACGGAAGTCAAAGCGATGAGGCACGTCAAGTAGGATATTGTTAAACTTGCAAGCGACATTGGACCCGGTTTCCAGCAATTTAGCAGAACAGTACAAAACGACCATTTCGTCAAAATGAACATTTTTTATTTTTTGAACGAAATTGAAACCGAGTTTTTTGGCCGAAAACTCGTCAAAATTTGCTGTTCCTGAGGGTCCAGCGTTTGTAAAAACTCGGTTTCAATTTCGTTCAAAAAATAAAAGATGTCCATTTTGACGAAATGGCAGTTACAAGTCCATAGTAGCCATTAGGTAGGGAGTCGCCGCGTGTCCAGTTCTGTCCAAGTTGCGGCTCAGTCCCAGGGAGGGCCCCACGAAAAGCAGAACCTTTTTTGGCTGCAGCAGGGCCTCTGACAGAGAGGGCCAGAGTCACGTGGGAGGCACGGGCACATGCACAAATGGGGGCCAGTGCCGGGAACCTGCTCTTCTTCGATTCTCGCTTGTGCGGAAGCGCTTCTGCGTTATTGTGTGCCAAGAGCTTGGATGCGTGAACAGTACCTGGCAAGGAAGCAGATGACAGCGCTGGGCGCCATAGCTATAGTAGAGGGCAGTGGTCGAGCAGGAGAGCAGCGAGGACATTGAGTGTGTGTGTGTGTGTGTGTGTGTGTGTGTGTGTGTGTGTGTGTGTGTGTGTGTG